CGTACGTACGTACGTACGTACGTACGCTCGGTCAATCACGTGACAACCAAACGAAAAGAGGTTGACCATATTCCATGAGTATGGGGCTCTGTCCCACGCGCGCTTCGCGCGCGCGGGAGCCCCGCTATAAAGCAGCTCCACCTGCGTTTGTAGGCGAGTCCGTGTGAAAAAAATTCTAGCCTTTGATATTTACATTAGAAATAGACTTCTCTCCAGACTGATTTAGTTTCTGTAATTCCAAGTATATCCAGCTTGGAGTCAAGGGAGCATAATAGTTTTTCTTATAGATTTAGGTTTTTAGATAAACTTCTAATATGACAGGGAAGACTTGAAAAAGATTTTGCGTCTGAATTTACAACCATTTTATTAAAGCTACTGACTGAATTATTCTGAGCAGGGGGTATTTAACATTAAATCTGGGTCGCAGTCGTCGAATTTATTTGGATTTGGGAGGAGATCGTAAAGGTCAAGTTCATGACGCCTATCCGGCCAGCTGCCAACCATAGCATGAAATTCTCTATCAGTTAAATCATAAAATGGTCAACAACTACTTACGTTTTCCTGGTAATCAGCCATTTTTGCCTCCGTAATAATATAAGTTTATAGAAGTCATTAAACTGATAGCTAATTAACTGAGCTCGTCAAGAAACTCTTGGAATTCCCCATGGGTTACGAAACATTTCGTGGTGAAGCTCTCCGTTTTCTTCAGCATTATTTTACCGTTAGCCGTCCAAATAAACTTGTAGTTGTGGTCGCGCTTGAATTGTAAGATTCTGCCCAGTAGTCGTTTGCTGTATGGCGTTAAGCTTTCATTGACATGAATTTGTGTTTTGTGACTTACAACCGCAGATTCCGGCTCGCAGACCACAGACGAGAGATCTTTATTCCGCTTAGATTTTAAGTTTTTCCTCTTGATGTAAATTTCGTCTCTTTTCCCTCTTCGAGTGAACTTGACAATTAGTCGATCTTTCACTTGCTTCGTTGAGGTTCTCTCCCATAATCTCAGACATTTCCTTCACCAGCAACGCTGGGCTGTCATTAGGTACGACCGGAATACCGGTTATTTCGAGACAGTCTCCTCGCGCGTACTGCTCGAGCTCATCCAACTTGACCTCGACATTTAAACCATCGTTGCCGAGCTTGTTTATGTCTTCCTTCATCTCTTTAATTTGGCTTTTCACGCCTTCGTTGTGCTCTTTTACGTGACTCCCCTTTTGTGTCCTAAATACGAAGAAAAACGCGTTGCCGATTATGAGTCTCGCTGCTTGCGCAAGCGAGACTAATGATTTCTATTGTTTAAAGAAGTATTTTCTCTTTTCAGCAACAAACTGCAGAATGGGTGAAAGCTTTCCGTGACACCAACATCCCCTGTTCGAATGACTTCTCGGTGACCGAAGACTTTGGGAGACCCTGTAAAGATAAGGGACTACCAACTGACAGTTTGTCTATTCAGAATGGCGTCATTATCAGGTAATTATTAAAACCTGAATCATTGGATAATGCAATTCTAGAGCTCTGATTAGCTTAGCCATTATAGTATACGAGCCATTATACCATGCTCTCCAAAAATGGTAACCGTACGCGTCTGCTCAAAATTAAAAACAAACTGATAATCGGTTGTTTTACAAATAAAGTTGGGAAGAATTATCGATGTTTTGTGGGCGTTTTTAATAAAGCAATTATTCCAGTCACGCTTTTTTGGGTATAAAATGATTACAGCCAACGCGCACTCGTGGAATAGTTGTTAATTAGAGGTGTCCGGTCAGAGCGAATCGCCTGTATATAGGTTTCGTCCTTACTGTTTTAATGTGCGCTGGTGCATGTTTTTGCGTTACAGGACGCCCAGTTTGCCCCTCTGACCCACCTCATGAGAGAATGCAACTACAGAGGCCGTGTAACGTGATGGACGAACCCTGTTGACAATCCAGGATAAGTTCTACTGCGCAGCCATCATAGACAATAAAGACTACAAGTTTTCGCCAAGCGGCAGCTACTTTGCTCCTAGAGAAGGCGACTACGCATCGTACATCGAGTATGGACGCAGCCTTCCGCTCATTGCGCGTCCTGAGGTATTTGGAATGCACGCCAAATGCAGACATCAGTAAGAACCAACAGGAAACCCAACAGTTGTTCAACAGCATCCTTTTGACGCAGTCTCGAGCTTTCGCCAAAGGTGGAAAATCCGACGACGAGATACTCTTTGGGGTGGGTGAGGATATTTTACACAAGAACTTTGACACGGAACCGGCACTGCGGAAACACCCCACCACCTATACGCAGAGTATGAACACGGTATTGGTGCAGGAAATGGTCAGGTTTAACAGGCTAACGAGAAGTCGTGCGATCTTCGCTTATGAACATACAGAAAGCTGTTAAGGTGAGTGAACCTTCAGATAAATTGAATAGCTATTTTTATAGAGTTCTTGTTTGAAGTTTTGACTAAACGTGAAGTAGAATCTTTATTCCTTTACAGTCTCTAAGGCAGACCATGGCCATTGCGGCAGGAAGTGTCTGCGCGCCTTATAGAGAGTCAGAGAAAATGACTGAAAATGACTTACTCTAGGTGTCCAATGCATAGAGGGTCAAATAAGACAGAGACTAAATCTTGATGTCTGTTTAAAGATAGTTGACTGTATTACTGGACCCTTTCGAACTTGTCGCTGACTGAAAGCAGTAAATACAGTTTCCTCTAAGGTGGAAATAGTACGTCAGGCAACCTCTGTTATTTCAAATCATTTTGCGTTCATCTGTGTGCGATATTGGACGATATGTTGCACACTGCACTTGTGTCTAGGAAATGTACCCGAGACATGTTACCGTTTCCTCTTACCTCGCCCTGCCTGGTATATATTTTGCTCCTTTTTCTATGGGGTAGGCAACTTACAGGATGTTGTTTTAGCTGCGTGTTTATGAATGGGATTCACTAAGCCGGATTACCCGACCTTTTATATGATCCCTAAACATTGTTCCACAGGGCCTGGTTGTTGTGTCCTCTGAACTAGAGGAGGAAGCGAGTGGCATCCGTAAAGGCAAAATCCCTGGTCTGTGGATGAAAAGTCCTACCCATCTCTTAAACCACTCGGCAGTTACATCAATGATCTGATTACTCTCCTCAAGTTTCTTCAAGAGTGGTATGACAATGTCACAATGGAGCGCCTCCCGTGTTCTGGGTATCTGGTTTTTTCTTCACTCAGGCCTTCTTACCGGGATCAAAGCAGAAATGCGCCAGAAAATACACCATTCCTATTGATCTCCTAACGTTTGATTTCGAGGTTCTTGGCGACAATAATTACGAAACTCCACCCGAGGACGGTGTCTATGTTAACGGCTTGTTAATGGAAGGCTCTCGATGGGATAGAGAAAAGAGAGTGATTGGAGGGTCGCACGGGAAAGCTTTGTATGACAACATGCCTGTTATCTGCCTCAAACCCTGCAAGAAGGAAGACATTGTTGACCGGTCGCATTTTGTCTCCCCTGTTTACAAAACAAGCGAGAGGAGAGGTACGCACTCTACCACAGGCCACTCCACTAACTTTGTGATGGACATGCGCCTGCCATCTGATCAGCCACAGTCCCACTGGATCATGCGTGGCGTGGCTCTTCTTTGCCAGTCGGATGATTAAGGAAGTGTTACATACAGTATTAACGTGCACTCAAGAAGTGTGATATGCAGAATTAACGTACAATTTGTATATAGTCCTCATTCAGTTTATGGTGGTAAAGTTTATATCCTGAATTTAGAGCCGACTGATATTGTCTGCTTTATTCAAGCTGGAGTAGCAACAAGTATGGTCTGTACCCTGCAAATACGCTCTTACTTTCTTAGTATTGACAAGTAGTAAATATACTGAGCGGTTGTAGTAAGGAATGGATTTAATAATACTCGGGGGCGTATATTATTTTTGACCAAGTTTGTTAACTTTCCGCCCTCCTTTTACCGCAAGATTTTGTTTTTCAACTTTTTGGTCTGAAGGGATATTCATCGCACGACATCTGCAAAACACTTTCACTACTATACTACAATGATTATTACATTCGTTATCATATTCACAATCCTCGCATTCAGAGTCATTGTCAAAGAGCTTCTTCAAGGGTTTTTTTTCCTCAAATTGGGAAGAGACACGAAGGTTATTTTACCGACGCCAGTTTGTCTGTTCATCCTTTACGCGGCGATGGCCGGAACCAACGAGATGTACGTAACAATCATAGGCGACCTTCCTGTTCTCCTGACGCCACTTCCTGTTCTCCTGACGGGGTACGAGGCTGGATGAAATGTTCAAAGAGAAATAGAAAATAGTCTGTCTCTTTAACTTATCGTTGATTGTAACCTCCTTAGTGTAGTCATCTTACTCTGCCCCTCAATGCCCCGCAAGTTTAACATCCTGGATCGTTTCCAGCGCCTGCGGAAACCACATTTTGCCCTCGCAAAGGAATGCAACTTTCCGGTCAACCTCGTTCCCAGAGTTCTCTCCTACCCGTTTCTGGGAACGAGGTTGTCCTCAGTCCATTTACGGATTGCGTCAAGTCAGTGAAAAAACTTAGATGTGAAATGAGCTATCTATATTATCATTAAAAAAATCATGTTTATAATGAGGACTGTTTCTGCACTTGGCCTGGTTTTGAAAGTGAGGGTATTCTGGTTTTTGGAAGTTGTTAAAGGCCTGTTGACAGCCTGAGTATCAGGCGTTTCTAGAGGAAAAAGGGGAAAAGAAAAGCGAAAATCTCCTGTCTCGTAGCCCCTTAGAAAAGTCTGATACTCAGACCAGCCTATTGAAGGACCAGTATATAAGTGTCATATTTCGCAACTATTATTTTAAATAATGGAACGGTAGTTTAACCCGTCCAGGGCCCGCGCAGGGGGAGGGGCTGGGGGAGCCAGGGCCCCCCACTTTTTGAAAAATAAATAAAATTATGTACAGTGGAACCTCGATATAACGAAGAGTCAAGGGAGCGGCAAAATATGTTCGTTATAACGAGGTTTGTTAACTTATATCGAAAATTAAAAACTGCTCTGCGGGCCCTGCCGTCTAATCTTTGTTCAAATAACCAGCCCTAAGGTTGTAACGTCTATACATTTAACTCGACCCAGATCGCACTCTGTCTTAGAGTGATTCGCCTTTCACAAAGGTGGTCAGCAGGTGCGTGAACGCGTTCACTGATCAAGGAGCGCTTGTTGCGTGTTATTCATGCTTGCGAACTACGAAAGCGCCTGCTGGAACGTCTAAAGAAAACTGAAACAACCTGGGGCGTTTAAAGAAAGTTTTCAATGTGTTTCAAATGAGCCTTTTTCCATATATATACTAGTCAAATTTACCTAATTCAGCACGAAACAAGTCGGTAATTCCCGTGTTTAATGTTAAAGAAGGCTTTACTCCATCCATGTGTGTCCATGTGATCTGTTCGACGTTACATATTGTCTGTTAACTGTGCCTGTTAGTGCAACCCGTTAGGCTGTCGGAGATAATAAGCAAATTGACTAACTTGATGCACGAATTGTTGTTCTAGGGTCTTAGACATTTTTCATTTCAAAGTTATTATTGGAGCCTTTTTAGAGGGCTACCCATATCCCTATTGACCCCTTGTCACACGTATTGCGGAGAAAGCCATGACTCTGTCGGTATTTTACCATTACAATGCTTGGACAGTACGAGTCGATCCCATCGCACCTAAGTGTCAGCAGTCCAAGCCAATTCTCCTCCGATCAAGACTTTGTGAATATCAGTGACATCGCGGACACAGCGTTTTTGTTTCTTGGAATTCACGGCAAGCCTAGTTGAGGTTTGACTTTTGGTTTATGCTGCTTTCAGTCGTCATTTCACCACAAACATAACGAATACATGAATTAAGAGTGCAGGAAAAGACAGTAACGCACTGAGCCAGCCTCCTCCTCAGGCGCTTCGTTTTTTGCAAGGTAGAGGCGAGCGACTGGTGATGAGCTGCAAGGGACCATGGGAAGGGTACAGACGGCAGGCGCCCGTTGTATCCTTCCCGCCTTCCTTTGCGCGCACATTTTCATCGGGAGAGAAAGAGAGAGACGTCTGGGTACGAGGCAGGCACTGAACGCTACAGACCGTGAGGAAGGTATTTTCATTCAGCTAGCTTTTGTCTATGGCTTGCGTTACTTGTTCAGGGACGAGCTCTCAATTATTTTTCATATGATGAGACCAAATAGATTAATTGCTGGCGTATTAAAACAGTTAAGAAGTCATTACACAGCGAGAACGATAGAACTCTTGTTTTCACGCTTCACAGGACACCAGTCTAGAGGTACGACAGGCTTTGATTCAGGAGTTAACCATTTGAACACCAAAGAGGATTTCATTTTGGTTATATGATCCCCGTTTGGGTAGAACTAGTCGATCCGATCATAGCTAAGTGTCGGTAGTCCAAACGAATTCTGCTCTAATGAGATTTTGTGAATAACGCCCAGCTATCAGTGACATCGTCATGGACAAAGCGGTTTTGTTTGTCGCAATTTTAGGGAAAGTCCCGGACAGATTTGAATAATATGTCACAAACAAACTTCATTTCAGTTTTTTTTTTTAAGTAAAATGTTTGTATGTGAGTATGGTAGTTCTTTTTACTTTCTAAAAAGGCGAAACAGTTTAAATTTTGGTTCCTTTTGCGTCCTGTAATATTAGCGAAATGACTCTTTTCCAAAAGAAGATTTTGCTGAGATTGTTTTGACTAGTTTGAGACAAATAATGTAAATTTGCCTTATTTAAACTGGCTAATTTGGTTTTCAGTGAAGTGGATACAAACTTCACATCATCATTTTATAAAATTAACTAGCCGTGTAAAATAATCATACTGCTAAGCTGCATGTTGACATTTTCTCATTAATATCTGTCAGTGCATCATGCAGTTTTTTAAAATATCTTAATTGCTACCGTTCAGGACTCGTTTTGGACTATTCGTTATCGGTTCCTTATCTCGACACCAAAAATGTACACATTAAGGTATTTATATTAGACATGCATTTTGGAAATCGGTTCTGACTGTTCGGCATCCAGTTCTGAATTTGTTATAGCTTTTGTTTCTTGGAATGCAGGGAAAGTCCCAGGTTTTTCTACATCTCAGTGATTAAGGCACGAAAGGGCGGCTGACTTCGAGGTAAGTAGCTTGGGTTATAAAAAATAAACTCATCTTAGCTTACCTTTTTCTATTTCATATATCTTACTTGAGCTTTTAATTTTCGCACTAAGTTTCCTGAATTGTGAGTGTGCATAAAAGGCTCACAAAGCTCGACCTCGATTGGTATGTAGGGATCGTTTGTCGTGTGATTTCAAAAGTTCGAAGCAACTCTTTGAAGAGCTCATACAATCAAATCGTTTCGCCTTTACGAAATGGATTCCCTTAAATAGAATGGCTTATAAATATTCCCAGTTGATATAGACAGAAAAAAACCCTACGTCTATGTCATGCATGTTAATATGTTAATTGAACTGCGTATTCCTTTCTTGGTATCGTTATCGTACGAGGCTTTGATTTCTGATCGTAAAATGCGCAGAGTCCTAAAGCTTTATTGTACTTCACTGTACTCTTAGAGATAGATTTCCTGGTAAGGTCTTGGTAGTGTAGCATACATATATGTTACAAACATAAACCATTTCCGTTTTTTTTCCAATGTTTGTATTGGAGCATGTTAGTCCTTTTCACTTTCTTGGAACGCAAAACAGTTCTAAATGTTGCGGTTCGTTTTGCAGGGTTAATATTGGTGGATTAGGTTTGGCACCGCTACATTCGACTGCTCGGTTCGTTAACCTTGCCCAGCGAAACAGCCGTTGAGAACTTCATAGCAAGTCAGGCGCCACAAACTTCCTCGGAGGAAAGTGAATAGTATGAGTTCCCCTTACTACCAAGACAAATTCTCAATATTCGCTTGCGGTCAATAAATCTCCGCGATTTCTATTTTCATTAGCGCGCTCGACGATCTTAAAAGATAAAAAACAGGATATGTAAACAGGCTAGCCTTTCCCAAGTTTGAGAGATTTCTAGGCAATATTTGGTCCTTCCAACAAATTTTACAGAAAAAACGTCGTTGGGTGCCCCTGGTATGAAAGTTCCAAACGATTCATCAGTAGGACATGCTGCCTCGCGTATGCCTGCCCATATGTAGCAATATTTAATCCCTGTTAATTCATATTTGATTTGGACATGATTTCTTTTAAATTTAAACCTCGCATCTAAAATTTATTTAAATTTAAAAGAGTTTTATTTAATCATTTGGAAATTTCATTTAAACTTCTTACGGAAATCCATTTAATCTTCGATTAAATTATGGTTTAAACTTTGACATTTTCATTTAATTCATTCTATCCATTTCAATTGAAACTTTGGAATTCCCATTTAAAATTTACTGAAAAATGTCTTTTAAACTGCTGAATTCTAACTTAATCCTTTAAATTGAAACGTTGACAAATTTCTTTTAAACTTACCAATGTAAATTATATTTAAACTGTGAGAGTAAAATTCATTTAATCTTCCTGGGGCGAGCTCGGCCGGGATCACGTGCTCATGTCACATGGCAAGGTCA